ATTATTTTTTTTATAAATTATTTTTGAAAATTACGTTTTAACTAATTTATGAAAAATTCGAATAACTTACAACAAGAAATTCACACAATTTTACAATAGTGTTATTCCTCGGACTCGTTATTTTCTCGATATCTATTCTGTTTACTTTAGCAAAATCTACAATTACTGAACAGAACTTTCCTCGTATATCGTATTGTTTGTTTCTTGTATTGTTTTCCTCAGCGTTATCGATCTTTAAGCATTGACTGTAATCACCTGATATCCAATTGCCTATTTCCAATGTACCTGCAGAGGGTTTTCCGGAAGCATCCAACACTGAAAATAAAATAAATATTTTCATGTAATGTAAAATATATATAGAACTGTAATTATTGTTTATTAACGATATGCTAATCAAACAAAATTAACAATGATTTATGTGTTTAATTTACTTCATAGGTTAATAATAGCTTCATCTGTGGATTGTAATCTGTCTTGTCGTATAGAGAAGACATGACAGAATCTGGTCATAATATATTGTAACCGAAAAAGTCGTTACATCAGTTACGTAATACAGACGAATGAATATTTCACGCGAAAAATCACTCGACAACGTTACGTGTCTCGTCATTGCACGAAAAGCAACATTGAAGGGTGTTTATTTAAATTTTTATTTTTATCAAGTGTAATATTCCTGCAAAATTTCAAAAATTTTCGAAAAAATGCACAGAAGTTATTAAGTTTCAAAAAGGCTGAAAAAATAGCGCTTTTCACACACTAACCTACGTTAATACAGGAAAAATCTAAATGTTAGCATTTCTCGATGTTTCAAGGTTCAAAATGTAAATATAAATATACTCCAAAAATGTAAATATTTTTGAAGTCATTTTTTGATCGACAGCCAAAATTTTTCTCTGTTATATATAATAGCAGGAATAGTAAAGATTCACTTGAAGTGGACAAAAATACAAGAGTTACAGAGAAATCACAAAGAAACACACTCACATGAACAACATTTATTTATATTATAAATAAATTGTATATTAAAATTAATTATATTTAAAACTTTTTGGTCAAACTTAAATATTATAAATGTAAAATTTTTAGTATATCTACTTTGCTTTTATAATATTCCGCACTTAATATTGTCAAAACATATTTCTGTCAAAGAAAAAACACGCGATTAACTTTGTTTATTGTTGTTGCAAAGAAGATTTTATTATTTTATAACGCTTACTTCATCGTATGAGGAACTGACGGTTTTTAAGTTTATGGATGTTCTCTTAAAACATCCATAAACATAAAAAAATTACTGGTTTATCGTTATGTATGATATTTGTGTGTTTGGGAGGCACGACTTTTCTTCACTTTGAAGCTTAATAACTCTTCTCTCTTTTGTTGAACATTTTAGAAAATTAGCAGTTATTTTTTACACTAGAAAGAAATTTTTTGGTTTTTTCAGTGTAAAAATGTAAAAATCATGTAGACGGAGTCATTTATCGACTGATTATCCCGCTGGAATATAAGAGACATGAACGTAAAAGATAGTCTGTCAGTCAAAATTATCTTTATTGTCTAGCACTACTGAGCATAGCCAGGCAGAAATAGAGGAAAACACATAGTAGATGCATGCTGTTAGTCATACAAGGGATACAATAATATACAGTAGAGCGTCGTTTATCCGAAAGTCGGTTATCCGAAAGAATTCCAGTCAGCCTAAAGTATACTTTTTATTTGTTTTTATATTTTTCAATGTATTACTTCGTTTGTAAAACATAAAGAAATCATTCTTAACGATACAATAGCCACGATTGTTATTTTAAAAAGTTTACGTTAAGCTTAACATCAACGAAAATTCAACACGAAGCGACACGCAACGGAGAAAAATTTCAACACGGGATAGGTTAATGTATCTTTTCGTACATAATCGGTTATCCGAAAAATAAGTTAGCCGAACAACCCCAGTCCCCAATTGATTTGGATAAACGACGCTCTACTGTAATGGCAAAGGAAGGGGAAAGTAAAATAAAATAAATGAAAATAAAAATAAAAATTAAATATTACATAAGATTAAAAAATAAAAAAATAAAAGTACACTATAACGAAAAAAACATCGTTGTACATCAAAGTCTACATGCTGTTATAGCAGAGCAAGGCGTGTACAGTCAACCCCTTTATAACACGGTAGATACGTTCCGTTCTTTATGAATCGATTTCTTACGAGTCCTTGCCAATCGCAGCCCGACACGTGTGAAGTTTACGGACTACAGCTATTTGAAAGGTTTTTTTCCATAAAATTAATCGATTCTAGACTAATTCGACTCAACATTCCCAAAATACGTATATTTCTTGGGAATAATCCGTATAAACTACGCTATAAACAAAAAAATTGTAGGATTACTTACCGAGTTTGCACCGTTCGAAGTCGCCATTGCTCAAGCTTGTTTCCGTCGCGGAGAACGAACCAAACCGCGGCCTCGATTTCTGATAAGTTATTTTTCTGCGAAAACTTCGTTGAACTTTGGAGACATTATTAATATAAATAATTTTTATGGCCGTTGAATAAGAAATGTTTTTCTCACAAGAAATGTATAAAAGTACAGTACTGTATTAGACTTACGGTACCTAATTTACATACTGTACAGATGATAGTAAACAACTTACTTGCCTAAACTCTCTGTAGCGTACCGCTGGACAGCAGAAAGTACATATATAATTATAATAAAGTTACAATAAATTAAGTTAATATATAATTATATATACAGTACTTAATTTATATATAATTAATATATAATTATATGTACAGTACCTAATTTATATATAATTAATATATAATTATATGTACAGTACCTAATTTATATATAATACTGTACAGACAATAGTAAACTCAATTTATTCGCCTAAATTCTTTGTAGCGTGGCGCTGGACAGCGGAAAGTAGTTAGGCTGCACGATGACGTTTTACCGAATTCTAAGAGTTTTTTTTACCAGGTTTGTACGGATACCGTCGCAATTTTTTCGCTGTCTTATAGGCATCGTAGTCATAGGAACCCGTGTTATAGGGGGTTTACTGTATATACATTGGCATCAAGGCAAGAGTGAATCATATCACAAGAGATTAGGTCAACGGATCTCACATCTAATAGAGTAGAGTGAAACAAATTGCTTTAACAAGTTAAAATTTTTGTTGTTTTGTAAAAAGAAATCAGGTTTTACTAGCTAGTCTATATTATTTATATTGGCTAGCTGCATGATGTCTTCCAGCATAGGACAGTTGGATAAATAGAGCATTACACCATCCCGCACCCCACACAGCTGATAGCAGTCAGAATTGGAGTAATGAAACCTTTTCAGGTAAACACGAAAGCGCCCGTGTTCTGTCAAAAATTGGGCTGAATCATGTGTGGGTTGAATTCATTTGTTGTGAACAAGTTCCTTGTCCTTTGGGATCAAATATCTTGTTGTGTGTTGTTGTGGGATCTCATCCCAATCCAGTTGCCAGGTTTTCAAAGCATTGTCCCAGATAGGTATTTAATTCTTGACTGAGGAGTGAGATTGTAGGCAGGAGGAGTATTAGGATTATGCGTTACGTTTCGCGCCAGAAAGTCAGCCAGTTCATTACCCGGAATGCTGCTGTGTCCTTTAATCCAATTGATGGCATACTTGTTAAAAGACGTAGAAGCTGCAGTGAAGATGTCATTTTCAACAGGGTGAGAATTATCCTTATTCCCCAGAGGAACAGTGGCAGCACTGTCTGTGAAGATATTTATCAATTTGTTCCCAACGTTAGAGTTGCACCAGTTGATTGCCATTAATACAGAGAAGATCTCAACTTGGAAGACAGAGCATTCCGGGTGTAGAGCAAAGGAATCATTGTAAACCTCTTCATCAGCCTGAAAGATCACAAAGGCCCTTTCCGTGCCGTTTGCTGACTTGTATCCATCTGTAAAAGCTTCAATCTCTGTAGAGGTAATATGAGGAGAGAGTCCCTTCCTTAAGGCAGGATGTAGGACTGTAGATACAGGCCTGCCTAATTCAAACATGGTGGCATTAAAGATGGTTTCATTAATATGAACATCCCTGCCCTTAGAGATACAGAAACGTTTGATATTAAATTGGAGAAATTAAAGGATGGGGAACTTCCCAGCCACCACAGGGAGTGCTGCATTTGAAACAGTGGAATAGCACCTTGTAGGTCGTAATAAGACAATCTGCTGTGCAGGCCTCAGATGCCGATGGTTATGAGATTGAGAGGCAGCAGCACTCCAAACAGCAGATGCAGATGAGATAGTTGGTAAAACAGGAAATCATACATAGCATTAGTTGCCTCAAAACCGAGGCCCCATTTGCATCTGCCAACCATTAAAACACCATTAAAGTTCATGTTACTTTGACTAGTAATGTGTCTTATATGCTGTTTTCAGGAGAGTTTATGATCAGTCACATTCCAAGGAAAGTGAGATCACTTAGAACTTTTATTGACTCATTACGAAACCTGATATAAAGCACGTGTCTGTAAAGGTCAGAGGCACCTGAAGAGGAGAAAACGATTCCCTTAGTCTTTGTCATGTTAAAACTGAGTTTATTTGTCACACCCCAGTTATTCACTATTTTAAGAATGTCAGTGGCTGCCCTTTCTATGTAGTTTCTTGATGGGGCAGGAAAAACTACAAAGGCATCGTCTGCCTATGCATAGACACTACATTGGTAGCTGAGCTGAAGTCAGTACAGAAGAAGTTATCGAATAAAATATCCCAGAACAGGGGCCCACAAACAGACCCCTGTGGACAGCTGCATTATAGCTTACATGTAAATTGAAGATGCCCCAGAGAGATAATTGCTTTATTATCCTCAATGTAATCAGCAGCAAGGTGGAATAAGTTAGCCGGTCAATTGCACTCACCTAATCTGCGTAAAATTTGCGGTCACCAGATGAATTGAATGCATTCTTCAGATCTAGGCTGAGGCCAAAGACAAACTTGTAACTTTGTAGCAGATGTTTGATGTGCTCAACTAAGTCCATCAATGCGTCAGCACCTCCACGCTGGCACCAGAAACCATATTGGGCTTCATGAAACAGTCCCTTGGACTCCCAAAACCAATAAATGCTTGAGGCAAAAGTTGAGAATGTTGAGAAGTAGATCTGGGAGAGTTTTCATTATTGTTAATGTCTTTGTTTATCCCATCTAGACTCGTAGCTTCGTTCCTTTGGAGACGGTTTATAGAGTCATTGACCTCAGAAAAACTAAAAAATGGGTCACTTTTCAAGAGCTCATTGTCATTCCTGCATCCTTCAGAGCAATAAGAGTGTTCGGGTGTGTCCTCTGCAAGGTAGTCAGAAGGGCATTGTGAGGGGGTGGTGATGGGCCGCACTCAAAGGTATAGCCCCAGAACCGGAAAAGGAAGGAAGGAAAAGTTTGACGAGTTAAGGCGAAGGTGAAAAAAAAAAGTAAGATAGGATAGAGTAGGGTAAGTGGGAGAATCATGGGCGCCTGCATCGCAATTATTAAAAATAAGACGAATACATACATGATTGGCAGTATGGACAATTAAGCAATGAGAATTTACAATGGATTGTTGGCGCGACACTTGGTTAGCATATTAGAATTTCGAGGTAATACATCATACAGTTATACATAGATAAATGCAATGAGAAAATGGTTACATGTACTGTACAAGGTAGATACGAATACAATGAGAGTAGAAATGCCAAATAAAAGTAACAATAAGTGATGCAGTTTACATTAAGATGCCCGGGAAGTACAAATTATACAATTATAAATCACAAAATCACTAAGTTATAAAATTATAAGATTACAAAATCACAAAATATAAGATTATAAAAGATAAAAGATTACAAAAGATAAAAATTTATAAAATTTATAAAAATTACAAATTATATATTACAAAAATTAACTTATATAGATTATAAAACCATAGATTATGAATTTGAACAATGATGTGTGATTAATACAGTCCTACACGAGTACAGAGACCACATAAGACTTGTGGGGTGGTAACCTACCACAGCACCTAGTCGAGCACCTTAATGCTTGAGGCAAAGTCTTTTAAGGCATTGTAGTACTGCTTGTTGCTGATAAGAATTTTGCTTTTGCATGGCCATAAGTCGTTATTGTCTTGAACCTTGATGATCAAGCGCTGCCTTTGTGTATTGTAGTCCGGGCAGTTCCAAAGTATGTGTCCAGAGTCTTCATCCTCGTTTAGCTCACAGGGGCACTTCCCGTCGGTCTTGTGCAGAAACCTCCTTAGGTAGCTTCGGAAGTTCCCGTGCCCTGTGAGTAGTTGGGTGATGCAGTAATTGGTGATGAAGTGTGTGTAGGTGCTTCTGTCCCGAACGTTCGGAATGAAGCCAAAAGTAGTCCTACCTGTATTGCTTTTGCTCCATCTGTCTTGCCAAATTTCCCAAGTGCGGTTTCTGATGGTGTGCCTCACCCAGGTGAGAGGCGTGAGCTCGAAGGTGTAGTTGTTAACCCACGCAGGGGCTGAGCGAGCCAAGAGGTCGGCCCTCTCATTACCCGGGATCCCCGAGTGCCCCCGGACCCAGGAAAGTCGTATGTTGACGTCTTCCTTGATAGACAATAGGAGGTTGACACTTTCTTGGATGATGCTTAACTTGGTGTTAAGGTTCTTTAACTGAAGAAGTGCCACTCTACTGTCACTGAGAATGTTTATCCTATTGAACTTATGCGTGTCCTTATTATTGTTTATCCAGTGGAGAGCCCTGCAAATAGCCAGAGACTCGGCTTGGTTCACAGTGCAGTGGTTTGCCAGTTTAAACCGAGCTTGGTGAATGTTAATATTGTTGTTGGTTACAACGAAGGCACAGCCCACCCCGTCCTCAGACTTGGACCCGTCGGTGTAGATGGTATAGCCGGTGTGGTCCGTGGGACCCTCCAGAGAGAAAATCTCTTCTAGAGAAGTCTTAGGGTGTAAGAATTTCTGGTGATTATTTAAGTCCAA